ATCGGCCAAAATCCCGATATCGTGCATCACTAATTAGAAACAATGCGTCACTCTACCCACAGTTCTTGAAGTTTACTGGATAAACAACACAAAAAAGCAAAAAAATACGTCCTAAAAATAAATTTCTAGCTAATCCTGAAGCTTATTTTAGATGGTTATACATCCTTCCTGGAAGTGTGGTAATATGGCGTATACCGTCCCAACACAGACAGAGTGGAGCAACGTTCCTCTACAGACAGTAGAAATACCGAAGGTGAGTACCTGCTCTTTAAAAAGTTCCCGCAGGACCTTCACGCACTCATCGACCACATCCTTCTCCTCCATGTCGCCAACGGCAGATACGGCATCGCCGGAAATGATAGACATCAGCACAGCCTGTTTCCCCTGTTAATTAAAACATTAAGAAGTTTTACATTAGAAATCTTTGCAGCTTTTAGTCGTTTAATCCTTCAGGAAAGAAAACAAAACAAGAAAACAAATCTTACATCAGATTAATTCTACCCTATATAGAGAATATCAGTTATTCCTTTTAGTTTGGTCAGCAGGTGGCGCTGTGATGCAAAAATCAACCTTTAACCTGATAAGTGCATGTTTGTGTAATTTACTAAAGTTTGCAAAGTTTTCCATCCAGAGGACCAAGGTGATGATGCAGGTATTTTTGTATGAAATGGGTCCAAATTCTGTTATCTGCATTTTACCGCTACTTGGTAAAATATAAGAATGCCAATCGTTTTAGGAAGGAGTTTTAGGAAAGATGTGAAAATCGGGGAAGAAAAGAAGTGAAGAAGCCGTTTGTTTTACTCGATGCTGCAGAGATTCCCAAACATTGCTGATCCTCATAATTTCATTATATAATAAATAATTCTATAAATGGCCTTTAATGATCAATTTAAATGAAACGGTTAATTTTTATAATCAATTGGTATATTTAATGTTTCAGTTAGCCGTTGGATAATTAAATAAATGCACTGAAAAAACGATCTAGAAATAAGTAAAAAATGTCTTAAATTAAGTATATTTACCTTAATTTGAGCAGGTAAATGAGATAGTTTGCCAATGGAATGAGTATTTTTGCTCTTAAAATAAGATAATTACCGTAGATAAAATGCACTTGAAATAACACAATGCCATGTTTTTCTAATTTTAAGCGTAAATTGTCTCGTTCTATTGGCAAAATGTCTCTTTTAATTTCTCAATCCAAGAATAAATGCACTTATTTTAAGAAAAAAATTGCTTATCTAGATTTTGATTTTTTCCAATGTGTAAAAACTACTCATTTTATGGGATGATAACATTCATTTGTGTTTGGTTGTTTTTTTTATGCTTTCTTTTTTTAAAATCTGGGATCACATCAAAATGATTCTGAAAACCGTCTAACGACCGCCCACTTAGTGTCTCACGGCCAGCTGGGGGTCCTGACCCCCACTTTGAGAACCCCTCCCCTTCAGGAAGACTCGTTTCACTGAGAAACTCAGTTTGTTGCAACAACAGGATAAAAACAAGCTCATCCAAGATAGCAATTAAAAATATCAGCTTTAAAAATTTTATATCTGACTGAAGAAAACAAGTTTTGATGGATAACGAAACATGAGAGGCTACTTCACAGACTTTATATTATTTTTATGTGGGTTATTAAAGACAAACAGCCATCGGAAATGTAATTATTATTACAGTAGGTGGCAAAATTTGACTGTAAAGAAAAAAAAAAAACAATAATTATGGAGCCGGTAAAAAAAAAAACGGCCATGCAGCGAGGGCGGTTTGGATCAGGTGGGAAATGTTTAAATAAAACCTGAAGGAAGCAACACTGACAACAAAACAAAGAGCATTGCATTGACTCAGTCTGCCTGTTTTTCCATCAGGAAGCAGAATAAATTGTTCATTAATCAGCTGGTTGGGGTTAACTGTATAAAGGGCAGAGAGGCGCTGGAGCCAACCTGTGGATCGAGGTCGTAGAAGACGCTGAACATTCCTCTTTTCTCAGAAGATGGCGGAATGTGACCAAAGTAATCGGCACCTTGGATCTTGGAGTCCCAGAATCGGTTTGGAAACTGGAGAGCAATCTGCAGGAGATAAAGACCGAATTCAGCATCAAATCTTTGCCATTTTATTAAAACTAAATCTAAACAGTCAAATAAAACTATTTCAAAATGGACCTTCCATGTAGGGATTAATGATGTCTTTTTTATTTTCCCCAGTGTGACGAAGATGCAGCAAACCAGTGGAACTAGCAAGTCTTTCCTCCACCACTAGTTCGCTGTTACACCCGCTGCCAAATTCCAGCGAGCCTGCACTGATGCAGAATCGCTATTTAAGGGCTGAGGGGTCAGGTCACCCACCTGAGTGAAGTTGGCCCCCCCACCTTCTTCAAATCAGACAAAATTAGTGTGAAACGTTTGTGCAGCAAAAATTTTCGTTTGTGCCGCTATCGTTTTAAAGATATAAAGAACTATTTCTAGAGGTCATCAAAGGTCAACCAGCCCCCCCACCTTCTTCAAATCAGACAAAATGAGTGTCAATTAACTCAATTAACCCCCCCCACCGAAACAGGGCTTCTGGTGGGAGCCGGTCCTCTCTAGAATACCTTTTCTATGATTCCTGCTCCCAGACTGTGGATTGCCTTCAGCTTCCTGTCTGGAAGTGGTGGGTTAAAGCGAATCCTGTTCTTCTGAAGCAGAGTCAGCGGCACCGTGACGAGGACCTGGAGGAGGACGGGTGACAATAACCACGTTACCTGATGACTCATCACACCACAGAGACGATCCCAGGTCACAGCAGGACGTTTACCTTCTGAGCCGTCCACTGGGAACCGTTAGAGGAGGTAACTTTTACAGCTTCACCTGAGTAATCTATGGCATTAACCTGGAATAAAAACAAGTATTTAAACACCAGAATAACACTTTACTAAAACACAACATGACAGAGAAGTTTTACAGTATTTTACATGTGGCGACATGCAAATAATTTAACCGTTTAAAATGGAAAACTGCCAGAAACCCGCGTGTAGCGCGAGCTTATGTGGCTTTTATGCGCTCTAATGCATCTTTGTATTGATAAATTTAAATCAACCGTCAGATTTATCTTCCAGGTTAGTCTGAGATTTTACTCAACAGGAAACTGGCTTCCTTTAAGTGCTTTAACTCAACGAATGCGACTCCTTGGGGAAGGCAAAGTGAGGTTAATTAGCCATTAACCAGGTTTCTGTGATCCTCTTATTTTAGTAGGAAACAGAATCACACACTGCCAGGAAACCTTCAGAAGTTAAAGTGACACAAAATCAACTCCTTAAAATTAGAGAACCCTAATCTGACACATTTTTTGGATTTAAAACCAATCTACCAATCTGTTTCCTGATTCATTTAAATAAAATCTTGCCTCTTCAGACTTAAATGAGAAGTTATGTCTAAAAAGCAATTTTTATTACAAAAAACAACAACAAAAAACTGGCTCCTAATAGTTTTTTAAATGGAAGATCTTGACTTTTTGTGGAAAACCTTCCAGACATCAACACTTTAGGGAAATAAGATTTGAACTTTGGACACAGAATGCGGACCCTGAAAGACTTACTGGACAGTTTGTTCGGATGTCGAGCCCTTCAGCCAGTTTGTGGAGTAAAACAGAGTAACCCTTCGTTAGCAGAGTGTGGTCTCCTGAGAACTGGGCAAAAAACTCGTTGTGGTCCCAAAATCGAGCCGAAACCTTCAACACAACAAGAAATACAAGAAGAAGCCTTTTAATACAGATTTTATTTTAGCTATTGTGGAATGGCATTTTTTTTTGGTCTATTTGTGAGTGAGGTTAAGGCCCCGTCCACACGAAGTCAAAACGAACACGAAACGCTAATATTTTCCAGAACGTTTGTCGTAAAGACGGAGACGTAAAATAAATGTGATCGTCAACACGAATGCATGAAAACGCTGCAAAATGTATGCCAGGCCTGTAAGTGGCGCTGTGGTGCCAAAGCAAAAATAGGCGAAAACAGGCAACGAAATGTTGGGCATGCGCACTAATATTTATACATGGTTGCCCTGCGGGTCCATTTTGGTGGTTCAGTCAAATTCAGGTGCTGAACTATGTGGTCGATATTGCTCTGTTCTTCCTGGAGATATTCCAGAAGAAGAGGATTCTGTTGTAAGCCCGACAGCAGGGTGAGTAGCATTAGCAGCAACCATTCAACACAGTACGGCGCCATTGTTGTTGTGATACTGTGTCGCGCATGCGTGTTTAGAGGCGACGCTATGACGCATGCATGTAAGAAAAAAAATGCGGTCAGAGCTTAAAGATGGAAACGCGAAAATGGCGTTTCAAAATCTTCCCACTCTGAAGGCTGAATAAAAAAAAAATCGTTTACAGACCCCCGAAACGCCGGCTTCGTATGGATGAGAGGCTGGTTTGGTGAAAAATTTGTGCGTTTAGGCCAGGGTTTGACTTCGTGTGGACGGGGCCTAAAGTCTGTTTTTTCTTCGACCACAATCAGATGGTTACTTAGAAGCCGTGTTGAGATAAAAGGAAAGGAAGGAGGTTTGAAAGGAAGTCAGGATTCTTGTGTGAATGGGTGAATGGAAAACAATTGTTATCTCTGTCCTTTGAAGAGCTAAATGTGTGTGGGTAGTCCCCTTTTTATGCAGGTGTTGGCATGCTGCAGCATTAGAACATCACCGAACTGCATTTAGGCTGGTCGTGTGTTCTCCTCTGCAGAGAAAAATAAAACCTTTTCTTCCTATAATATCAACTCTCAGCGATTATATTTTTTTAACTCGACACTATATAGCAGAACTGACTTGATATTTTGGCCTCTCGCTCTCATTGTGCGGCGCAAACAGAACAGGAACGCGGTTCAGCTTTCCTCACCTGGTCTAACGTGCTTCCACAGGCGAACTCCAGGTTGCTGAGATGAAACTGAAGCACTTTCTCCTCCAACTCGCTGAAATGCATCCCAGACTCCTGAAGGAAGTCCTTCTTTATTTCCTGGACCTTTTCTGTGGAGATAAAGAGCATTCATCAGACATAAGATCCAAGTCTTCAGCTATGAAAACATTTACATAACAACCTAACCCCGGAATCCATGCAGGCCAGGGAGAAAGATCCGGAAAAGAAAAAAATCTATCCAATAATAACTTTAAACACACCATTGTTTTCACAGTTTGAGTAAGATATTTCAAACATTTATTTAGCGCTGCTAAGCTGGATTTCCTGTTCTGCTCTTTTGCTGAAAACTATCCTGAAAACTAATTGTTTGAAGTTTAGAAAAAAAAGAAAGCTATAAAGGAAGGAAAATCTGGAAAATATCAAATAAATGTCTTATTTTTGTTGCGTAACAGTTTAGAATAGATGGCTTGAATTAAGAAAACTTTTTTAAATGAACCCCTAAGTCATTCGATAAATTCATATTTAGACTCTAGTAGCCTTTATTATTTTTTCAAAGTAGGATAACAGGAAATAGGAATAGAGAGAGGTGTCAGACGTGACGCAGAGGTCAATAGGCCGGGACTCAAACCTGCAACCGCCACGTCGAGGATTAAAGCCTCCAAAGATTTCCAGTTTCTATTATTAGGGCTGAGCTAACGATTATGTTGCAAATCGATTAATCACTGGATTATTTTTTCGATAAATAATCGGAGAGCCAAAGGTTCCTCAAAAAAGATTTTTCACGAAATTAAACCAGGTGAGACTAAAACTTTTCTACTTGAGGAGTTCTGGATAGTCGACGGAGTTTTAGGGCCAGGCTAGAGATTTTTTTATTTCTTTTTATTTTGAGAATAAAGTTGTAATATTACGAGAACAATTTCATCAAACAACAACCCGTTTTAAAAAGAAAGCTTTCACCACTTTGACATTCTGCCCAATTTGATGCTGGTGCTAAAAGATTTTCTTATTTGTCAATGTCGCTCCACATTCCTCATTTCATGGAAGAAAGTGCTTCTTCTACGAGTTGTCATAAAATAAAACGTTATTCTCCTAATATTAGGACTTTGTCGTAATTTTAGGACTTTTTTCTAATGTTACAACTTTATTGTCGTAATTTTATGACTTTATCGTCATGTTATGACTATTCTTGTTGCGACTTTATTCTTGTTCGTTATTTTATCACTTTATTGACGTAATTTTTTAAACTTTATTCTCGTAATAGTACTACTTTGTTCTTGTAATTTTATGACTTTATTCTTATAATGTTATGACTTTATTCTCTTAGTATTACTACTTTATTCATGTAATTTTACGACTTTATTCTCGTAATGTTACGACTTTATTCTCTTAATGTTATGACTTTATTCTCTTAATGTTACGACTTTATTCACGTAATGTTACGACTTTATTCACGTAATGTTACGACTTTATTCACGTAATGTTACGACTTTATTCTCTTAATGTTATGACTTTATTCTCTTAATGTTACGACTTTATTCACGTAATGTTACGACTTTATTTTCGTAATTTTATGACTATCATCAATATGTTATGACTATTTTTGTTGTGACTTTATTCTTGTTCGTTATTTTATCACTTTATTGTTGTCATTTTTTTTTTACTTTATTCTAATAATGACTATTCTTGTTGCGACTTTATTCTCTTGTAATTTTACGACTTTATTCTGGTAATGTTACGACTTTATTCTAATGTTACAACTTTATTCTCATCATGTTACGACTTTATTCTCTTAATGTTACGACTTTATTCTCGTAATGTTACGACTTTATTCTCGTAATGTTACGACTTTATTTTCTTAATATTACGACTTTATTTTCATTATGTTACGACTTTATTCTCTTAATGTTACGACTTTATTCTTTTAATGTTATGACTTTATGCTCGTAATTTTATGACTTTATTCTCTTAATGTTACGACTTTATTTTCTTAATGTTACGACTTTATTTTCTTAATGTTACGACTTTATTCTCATAATGTTATGACTTTATTCTCATAATGTTAAGACTTTATTCTCGTAATTTTATGACTTTATCGTCATAATGTTATGACTATTTTCGTTGCCACTTTATTCTTGTTCGTTATTTTATCACTTTATAGTTGTCATTTTTTTACTTTATTCTAATAATGACTATTCTTGTTGCGACTTTATTCTCTTGTAATTTTACGACTTTATTCTAATGTTACAACTTTATTCTCGTAATGTCATGACTGTTCTCGTTGTGACTTTATTCTCGGAATTTGACGATGTTATTCTTGTAATGCTACGACTTTATTCTCAAAATAGAAAAAATCTCTAACCAGGCCTTTATACTAGTCATAGGATAGAGCATAATAACAGACTAAAACATTTTTTCATCTTAAATGCAAAATGTTTATATATTTTTAAAATTTTTATCTAATTACTAGTGGGTTTCTCTGTCAGCTAAAAGCATGTTTTACAGTCTATACTCCAGTTAACAACTATTCTATTACTAAATTTGTTGACGATTATTTCAATAATTGATTAATTGTTTCAGCTCTAATTATTATAAATTGATTATTTCATTAATTAATAATTTTCCTTTCCAGTTCAGAGGAACAGCTGAACATAACTCTAAATGGATGAAAGCTAAAAAGCTAAATCTCAGTGAACCTCACACACAGATGACGTTAATGAAAAGTGCGCAGCACCTCCTAGTGGTGCATCCTGGTTCTGCGACTTGTCGTTCCTCCAGTCGGACACCACATCCAGGATGGCGTTGAAGTGGAAGTCCATGCGCTTGTCGATGGCTGGGTCGGTGACCCGCCCGCCCTCCTGGAAGAGGTCACAGCGCTCGCCCAGTTTGTGCATCTTGATGCCCATCTGCAGCAGAGAGTCATCATCAGGCCCCGCAGCGGCGTGAGCAGCAATACGAACCAAATCAGACTTCATGTGTTCCTGTCTGATGAACCTGTTCACACATCAGAGCGACCGGGTTGTTCACGCAGCCGTTTACGATCTGAGCGCCTCGGCCGACGGTGACGCCCAGAGAGGTGTCATCCCACACCCGGCCGCCGATTCGGTCGCGCGCCTCCAGCACCACCACCTGGATAGCCGAGCACACAGAGGCACAGTGAACAGAGCGCAGGGCGGGTCGGGACGGATCGGGGCGACCGTCCGGGGCTTCTACCTGCGTGCCGAAGTTCTGCAGCTGCCGAGCAGCAGCCAGTCCTGAGGCACCGGCGCCGATGATGATCACCTTCTTCTGCAAGGACGAAACAGAGAAGATGGCGTGAGCCTGGATCAGAGGGCGGATTTAAACCCACTGTTAGAAAATTACAACATTTTTTTTGTCATCCCCAAACCCCCCTTTTTTTGTTTTGGTCTGAACTGCATTAACCAACTCATTTGGTACTATGGTTTGGTCTCACAATGCTAACGGATCCTACATTTGTACACAAGGCCTGCCCTCAGGTAAAGAAGTCACACAACCTCCAGAGTTTTGCTTGAGCATCATCCCCTCGATTTACTGGACTGGATTTATCTGATCGAACTAAGCAAAAGGCTTTACATATATTTTATGTTTTAATAACAGCAGGGTTTATACAGGAATTAATAACTCTAACTTAATCCTTTTTAATGCTCTTAGAAATAATTTTAAAGTACCCGTCTACAGGCTGCAGCCATGTCCCGAATTCCTCGTTTTCCAGCAACTTTTGTTGAAATTTGCTTTGTTCCCCCCCATTCTCTAGCTTTTCTCCAACTCAGGCTTCTTTTCTGAACATACAGCTTTGCGATCAAAGCAGTTCCATGTAAATATTTATCGTGATATGTCTGACAAAATTGTTTTTATAAACATTTTTTTTAATAAAGCATTTTAAATGCCACAATAAACACATTTAATGAATTTTAATGCCAATTAATGCCTTAATTTAAAAAATAATAATTTAATGACTTTTAATGATCTGCAGAAACCCTGTAGAGTATCTACAACATGTAAATATGTAGTTATTGTGGAAAAGTTTTGTTTTTTGTTGCAATATTACAATGTTGGGTGAATGTGGTCATCAAAACAATTATATTTTTTTGAGAGGAACTTTTCCCAATATAACTTTAAACTGATAAATTACACATTCTACCCCTCAGCCTTATATTGGATTATATATATATTATTCGCTGGTGAAGATTCTCAGTCATCCAGTTCATAGTCATTCCAAATAAAAAGAAAATTAAAAACAATCAAATGGACTTTCTTTCCAAGTTTGAAGACGTTTAACTTCCCATCCAAAAAGCTTTTTCAATCAAAAAGAGTTTTTTTATTTGAAAGAAAGCTTTACAAATTCCAGTGGATTGTTTTTTGGGAATGTATATATTATTGTGTTAACCTAATATGCAAAGATATATTGCCATATCTAATCATTTTAATTTACTCAGTGGCGGCTGGCCCATAGGGGGCGCTCGGGCGCTGCCTTCCATAGATGTGGAGGGGAAAAGTCATAAATAATATACATAGATTTTAACGGTATACTATGCAACCGGTGTTGATTTTCCAGCGAGGCTCCCCCCAGAGGGCGAAAGTAAAAGTGCACTGTCGTAAATACGCTCAGCTGTTCTCCTGGTTTCTCCGTCAAGCCGGGCGCGGTTGTTTTGAGCTTAGCAGACAGGCGAACGCAACGAATCACCGTGTCTACTGCGGTAGAGAGCCCTTTTCCTCTTTCTTGCCTGCTCCGACATGGGCTTTCGCTGTTTTCTCGCTGGTTCCGCCATGATAACTGCACAAATACCGCCACTGCGCTAGCAACGAGCATGCCTTTCACTGGGGGCATGTAGCAGTTCTCGCCGTAAAGCAAGACCGACTCTCGCGATGCACGAGACTTCTGAGCCTGTGGGTGCGGGTCGAGGGCTCCTGCAATTGCAAGTACGGTATTTCCCCTACAGACCACCAGGGCGGCCGAGAAAACCTTTGTTCGACCTGAAATGACTCATTTAATCATCCAAAACGTTATGGAACACATTAATTAACTGAAAAATGTTGCATAGTATGCCTTTAAAAGTATTATCAATGTTAGTTCTACTTAATAGTATGTAGCTACATGTAATATATGTCTTTTCCTGCAGGTTATCTAGAATCTAAAAGAGTTTGTGTACTTTTTATATATCCATTTGTTTCAATTATTTTTTTTATTTCAGAATGCCAGCAGCAAGGAGAGATCCTGGGTACAGTGTGCAGGATGTCACTGCAATGGAGGAAGACGCAGAGATGCTCACAGGGCGGTGCTTTTCAGGCAGCAGAGGCTGCTTCACTGCCAGCACGCCAGTGTTGATCAGGCCCTTCCTGGTCATGAAGTGGAGAACCCGGTCCAGCTCCTGCACGCAGCAAACACGCACCAACCCGCGGACAATGATGTTCTGAGCACATTTCTCAGCAGTCAGCACTTCCTTTAGGAAAAAAAAAACAAAGACGGGTTATACTTTTCATTGTTTGATGTTTTTTTTCTTGTATTTGCTTGGAAAGAAACTCTACTCTACTAATCAGGATCTCTGTGAAAGACCACAGGCAGCACAACACTCCGTCTGATGCTCACCTTGCAGTTCTTGTGCCAGGATGCCAGGATGAGGTTCCTCAGAGCCAGATACATGGTGGGATCTCGGGAAAACTCTGGGAACTCGTAAAGCTCATCCAGCTCCATCATGTCCGGCCGCACGCACAGAGCTTTGCCACATTCGTTGGGCTGGTAGAACGGCTGGAAGTACGGACACAGGCCTGGAACTGATAGGCGGGAGCAGCGGTAAGGCGTTGCTTTGATCCCAAAACCAAACCTCGGATTTCCGCTCAGCCCTGAGCTCACAGACTTACTCTGAGGCTGCGCGGCTCTGGAGGGATCCGACACGTTGCAGGGAGAGCCTGACGGACTCATCCCCACGCAGTCGGGGTAATACGCCGAGAGAAACGCTCCGGCTGGGCTTTCCTTTAACAGCGGCGGTAAAATCAGCATGGAGTGCCACCAGCTTTCCTTCACCTCAGCGACCCTCTGTGCAAAGCAGAACAAACAAACAAATCAGGAGTCAAACACTCAGAGCTTTCTGGTCCAGATGAGAACAAGGCCATGAAACAAACCCGTCCTCCACTGCAGCAGAAACACAAGAACAACACAAAACTTTCACTTTATTAATATTTTCATCGGCGCGAAAAAAAGTCATCTCAGTAAAAATGTTTCAATCAAAACGAAAAGTGCCTCAGTAATTTAGATGCTTAAGATACTTCAAGATTCTTTAAAAAAAGTCCCTCTGCGCCCGTTAGCTCCATTGTCTAAATCAGGGCTCAAGACTTTTTAATGCCACTTGAAATAAAAATTTAAGACCAAATTCAAAAGAAACACAAAAAAAAACCTGCTTGCAACAACTTAACCCAAAGGTTTATTTTAACATAAACCACTGCACTAATGTTTCAAATGTTGAAAAGCTTCCCATACAGGAAGAAAGCTAAAAACACACAAATGACAGATATATTTGAACAATTATTTAACTGAATTCACAAACTTTGTTTTAGCAGAGAACAAAACAAATCAGTTTTAAAGCCCCAACATAACCAGTGCTAAGTCTTTTCTGCAGCTATTTTTCTTTGTATGGTTTTCTTAGTATGTTTGATTTGGTGATAAGTGGAGGCGTTGCAGAGACAAGGGTGGAACTAAACTGAGAAATACCGGCTGTTTCTCTCTAACTCCATTTTGACGCTTTGTGTTTCGCGTTTCGCATGTGCGACTCCACTGCCTTAATTCCCATCGTTCTGAGCTTGAATGACTTCTTGCACTAAATCCACTGAGCCTCATGTATGTTCCCTGGTTTTAGCCGTGGAGGAAACTCTTGGCTGGAGACAATTTTGGTTACATTTACACTTGCTCAGATTTTCCAGACAAAAAGTTAATGGTGCATCTCCCAAATGTCCCGGCAGCAACAACGCTTTATTGGTTCCGCTATCGAGACGGAACCAATAATTGAGAGCCGTTATTTTTTTTAAATAAAAAAAAATTCGTCAATTTTAACATTTTATTTAGATGACAAAAATAAATCGTAATGAAAATAATCCTATTTATGATGTTTGAAAAATAAGGTCTACGAAAGACTGATTTAAGACATTTTAATACCAATTAAGGCCTTAGTTTTATTTTGAAGAATTCAATGCCTTTTAAGACTTTTTAAGGACCCGAGGGAACCCTGTAAATAAACTAAACCTCAAACCTGATTAATGTAAACAATTTAATATTATTGCACCAACTATGTTTTATTTACGACTTAAATTAGTCTAAATTTGTTGAAGCTCATTGGGCCTGATTCCAAACTTTGTTTTTTAAGCATAAAATCCATAATAAACTGAGATAATTTTCATTTTCTTGATTATGATTTTCAAAGAGTCTCGTCTATTTTAATTATTAGTTTAGTTTCACTAGTTTAGTCAAGTTTTAACTTAACTATTTTTGACCTCTAGTTAAATGATTTTTGTTAACAAATTCTTAAACTTTTGGATGGAAGTTGTGAATTTATTCTATTTGGTTGCAGATGTAACAGCTTGACCAGGATTTGAGCTTGAATCAAACCTTCATCTGCTGTCCGATCACAGCCAGTAGGGCTCGTGTTCACAGAGCAACACAGTCTGAACGTTATTTGATTTAATTTTAAACGACATGAAGTCACAACAGTAACCACAAACACCGATCCATTCCTCTTAAACATCCTCTTAAGAGAAGAGCCCACGGTAAGGAGATTATAAACAGTTTACTGGATAATAAAAGCTGGTGGATGGGGCCATTTTTTTAATGAATTTATTATCATTTCAAAGCTTTTTACACAACTAGACTAACTGAAACTTTTTGTAGTTTGATTTTAATTCAGATCTTACCAGGTCCTCTGGTTGGGAGCAGTGGTCGGGTCCTTCACTCTGTGTGCAGAAGCATAACGTCGTTAAAACAATGAAAACTGGGGATGGACGGGGTAGGTACCAGATCTGCTCGGAGCCCCGCCCCTTCTTATGACGTCATCATAAGACTCGGACAAACTGTATTTCACCTGTTTCTTAAGAATCAGATCTCGTTTGGAGTCTAAATATATTATATTATATTTAGTATTATCTATATTTGCTATTGCTGGTGAAGGTTCTCAGTCATCCAGGTCATAGTCAGTCCAAAAAAGTTCAAAAACAATCCACTGGACTTTTTTCCCAAGTTTGAAGATGTTTTGCTTCTGTAAGGTCTAAGCACCTAAAACATCATACATACAGGGAAAGAAAGAAGGCACAGAGATAGAATTAATTTAGTTTTACTCGTGAGGAGAGTAGGAAGAGACTGCGGAGTTTACAAATCTCCAACCCACTCTACCGGTCTTCAGCTTTCTCCTCGCTATTTATTAAAGTCGGGGGGGTCCCTAGTTACACAAGCCGAGGTTGCGCTAAAGGCATAGGAAACAAGAAATAAAATTCAATTTGCAGCCTCAGTGAACAGGTCAATTTGCATTTAAATGTCTTGCGTCAAATGATCCGAGGAACTCCTGGTTTCTTTAAGCTTGAGCTATACTTCCTGAGAGTTGACCTCTACTGCTTGTGCAACACCTCTCTGGAACAGTAATATGTCACACATTATAAATCATAAGAACAAACATTAAGTATCTTATACATAATTATTCCAATAGGATCCCATCCAGGAAGCTTTTGAAAGACATTTTGAGTTAAAAAGCGTCCTCAAACTTGTAAACAAAGTCTAGTGAATTGTTTTTTTGGAACATATTTGCTATTATTGTTCATTTAATTGGCGATCTAAAGTAGCCAAAAGTAGAAAATATTAACTGTCAATCTTGAAGGGAAGGTACTGCGTTCTAAGATTGAGCTTTGCCATTTACCAAGGTGACGAAAAAATGCTTATTAAGAACATATGGGACATCGAAAAAATGACTTTCATAGAGAATTTAGACAAATAAAACCCGTATTCTACTTAGACTTACCGGTAGATTTATTTTGTCATGTTGTACACACAAGTGTAAACAAAAATAAATTTTGTTCAGAACAGCTCTATAGACAATCTCATTCTTTAAAGTGCAACCTGCAGCAATAAAACACACTCTGATATTAAGTCACTATATCTACTATTTCAACTTGTAGAAAATTAACGGTTTTTGTTGAGACAAATTTAAAAGTAGTGTAGCTTAATATGGCTAACTGACCGAGCTAAAGGAGGCTAACCCTTTAGCTACTGAGGACAGCTAGCTACAGCGCTACCCAGCTCTCCCCCTTTATATCTCGGTCTAACAGGTACTGTGTTCACAATAAACAAATTTTTTTCAGTTTTGTTATCAAAATGTAAAACTTCATCGACCATTAGAAACGCTACGCCGCGTGATGTTATTATCGTTGTCTGGGCAACCACAATGTTTTACATCATGTGGCGACGTTCAGCCAATCATGTAGCGTGACGTCACTGACAGGAAGCAGGAAGCAGATCTGGTACCTACTGTCACTACCCGATCCGCCCCGGAACCACAATCCGTATCATCAGCTCATCCGCACATCCATAATACATCAGGGTCGCCCTCGATTTTATCTTGTTAAAAAGACCTAAATGACGTTTTTCCCTCTCTAAAAATAGTAAGTGTACTAAAATATAACGTGTTAAAGTGTATTTCCTGAGAAATACTCCTGTTTGGCTGTGACTCCATCCTGGAGAGAAATATCAGCTGTGCTGCTGCCATCAACACCTTTGTTTCTAGATGTTGGAG